TCCACCAGCCTCTGTCAGACCAGCAAACCTGGTCCCCCCCTTCTTTTTTTCCAAATGATTTTGAGTTTTGTTCCACATTGTTCTTCCTCTCTGTCCAGGGTCTCTTACATAGATCCTCCTCTGAGTGGTTGAGAGTAGTCGCTAGGCACCATCTATTTCTTCTGGTCTCATAGTCATATAGGCTGCGGATTACATGGTGTACCAATCGCTAGGACTAATTCTTTCCATGAATCTTTGATTTTCTTCATTCTTCTTTGCTCTGGACAAGGAGAAACCCATCGTTGCATCCAGATGGCTGCTTGCAAGCTTTTAAGATCCCAGTCACTACTCACCAAGGTAGGAGGTAGAACAATATTTTGTGTAGTACGTTATGCCAATTGAGCTTGATGTCCCCTGCGACTATGGTCCTGAACCCACTGGTTCAACTACTCGGTCCCTCTGGGTCGCTGGCTGTGACCAAGAAGTGACTACAACCTTGTCCCTTGTCAGCTCTACTTACTATACACCTGGGAATTCTTTTTTTTTAGTAAAATGTAGTTTTTTTCATTTATTGACTTATTACTCACTTTTTTAAAAAAATTGTGATTTGGGTGAAAATTTACAGAGCAAATTCACTTTCCATATAGCAGTTCACATACACTTTGTGTCATGACATTGACCACAGTTCACCACATTGCAACATCTCCCATCCCACTTCCTCCTGACATTCACCTCTTCCCTGTGTCCATCCCTCCATGAACTCCTGCCCCCGAGCTGTCTCCGGTGTGTAAACAGCCCTTCTTTCTCCCATGATTGTTTTCTCCAAGGAGTATATTTACCTCAGGTAAATGTTCAACTCCTATGTCTCTCCCTTGGACTGGAAGCCAAGGTGTGGGTTAAATTCCAGACCTGAAGGACAGATCCTGGTCGCTTTTTGCCAAAGTAGGAGGTGGAACAATGTTTTGTGTAGTATGTTATGCCAATTGAGCTTGATGTCCCCTGTGACTTTGGTCCCGAGCCCACAGGTTCAACTACTCAGTCCCTCTGGGTCACTGGCTGTGACCAAAAAGCGACTACAACCTAGTCCCTTGTCAGCTGTACTATACACCTGGGTATTCCGATCATACAAATACTTGTAGGACCATTGTCTGCCAACCCTACACATGATCTTGGGTATACTCCTCACTTCATGTTGTTGTTGTAGTTATGTGCCGTCGAGTCGGCCCCCCGACTCACATACCTAATAGTTCAGCCTGTCCACACATCTATCCACCTGTATACCCGTGTTTGCCTTCACTGACAAGGCAGCACTGTATGTGCAAAAGGGTTCATTTTTGTTGTCTGTACCTCCCATGTACCTCTCTATGTCTTCCTCTTCCTCAATGC